TGACATGAAGCCTACAAGTTATGTTGCTGAATGTGTGTTTTCAACATTCTGATGGCTTGAAATATTTCACACTATAACGCCGGTCAATCACGGCCACCACTTAGACAATGCTTCGAATGGTAAAGAGCAGGAGACCTGAGCATACCAAGGCCACCTGCATATGCGTGCGATGCACAAGCGATGCTTCAACCTAGCACGCTCAAATAACAATGAGTTGTGTGCAATCCCTGCTGCGGTGTTTGCTCATGCTCATCACTGCTTTTCGTTGCAGTATAGTCCGTGAACAGGTTTGGGCCAGGATGGTGATTTCACATGCGAGTGGCTCCAGCACTTGAAGCCAGTTCCAAGAGTTGCAGGCTTGCCGTGGAAACAAATGCTGATCACTTCGAAGCCCCCTCCGCTTTGGTTTGTTGAAACTATGTTTTTGAGCGTTGCCAGCACGGACAGGCAGCGAGAGTCGAGGAATCCGAGTAATACACCGGATAGATGTTTCACGCGACGGTATTTTCCAACAGTACAATTCTGCATGTTTGTCGCTGCAGTTTGGGTTAAACATGGCCATTACATCTATTGGCCACCATGAGAAACAACCAAATTTCACTGTTCACTTTGCAGCTACGGATTTCCGCGCATCTCACCTTGGCGACAATGTCGCTAACAAGTTGGCCATGCATTTCCCGGCCCTGCCGTGCGTCTCGCCCGCAACCGCGAAGGTCAAAAGGAGCTGCATGAAGGTCAGGCGGATGAGGGAGGCTAGCCCAACTTTTGCGAGCAAGCTCAAAGTTGTTACTTCCTTTGCCCCTGATTTGCTCACGCTGTGCCTGACACATGGATGCACATGTGCCTTGTTGTGCCTAGAACAAGTGGAAGGCCCGTCGTCAACTCTGCAGCAATTTTGCTTGCCAGCAATAGCCTATATTGTTTTAGATCGGGAGTTGGACATTCCGAGCAACAGGCAACCAAGCCAACTAGGTGGACAGAGTAGCCTTGACGCGTCGCAGCGATGCAGATTTACAGTACTGGCCCCTTGGATTCCGGCGATTGTCTGAACATTTTGCTCTTGAAGCCTCCGATTGTATTCGTGCACTTTCCCGTAAGACGGACAGTTGGAAATCGTCTCTCCTATTGCTGTGCTTTGTCAGCTATCCACCAAGCAGCCAGCAGTTACGCAGTTGCTTGCGACTCCAGCATGGAGTGTCGTATCTTACATATATAGAGCCCCGAGCGCTGGGTCGCCATGCGCAAGAAAGTGGACAGCCGTGTGCGGACCCTGGTGCCCACCTTAGAGAGACCAGTGATCCGCAGATGGGCTGGGGTCATTATTTTGACCGTTTCCAGTGCCCAGGGGCCATCAAAGCCAGAAAATGGGGTTGTTCCCTTTAATCCATCACTTAGGGGGTGGCTTTGATGGTAAATTAATGAGGCTAGGATGGATTTGGGAGTGTTGCCAGTGTTTGACTGAGAATCGCCGTGTGGACATGATGCACGAGAGGAAGTGACCAGAGATTTGGCCGTGGCTGATCAGTGGGCGTGTATTTGCTGCGCAGGTTGAAAATGGCATCAAGACACACACCCGGTCCATGTTTGTCATCGTGCCTTGGGTAGCACTTAATGAACCGTCGGCAGACACAATGCTATTGGCGTGCCGTTTTTTTGGTCCCTTTTTATGGATAGTCTTCAAAGCGAAACTGAATGACAACAAAAGATGCGATTGTCTATTTTGGGAAACACCGCATGTGAACCATGATGTGCTCTGAAGATCTTCCAAAACGGGCTGATGGCGGTGAAGGGCGGCGTGTGTTGAGCTGCTTGGACAGCGCTCTCAAGATGTGTGACTTTCTTGGGCCTTGTTTAGGCATCCCCAACCTAAAGGAGGGCGCTGACAAACATTTATTTGCATGCATCAGAAGTATCCACATTTACTGCTTTGAATAAGGTGGCACGGGGTCAAATTGCAACTGCTTTTGGTCGTGGCTTGTGTTGATGCTGACCCCCAGCCTGTCCAGATGCATGCAACTGGCACAATCAAACTGCAATCGTTGAACAGTCTGAATGCGACAGCCAAACGCCATGGACACTTGATGCGTCAGCAGTGCTGCGTTTGGGGGCATTTGAGCAAATGTGCCTCTTCTTGATTTATGGTACCCACCATGCGTCACAGTGATGAGGAAATTATTGGGCCGAGATCCAACACTCTTTATAAACTTGGGCAACTATTTCTTATAACACATTGCACCTGCCGCGAGCCATTGGCATTCATGTTCGAAACATAGCGGCGAGTCCCAACATTCTCTTAACAAACCCAGCAAGGCGCAAGCCACTGCCCTTCCTCACACACATAGATAATCTGGAAAGTTTTTTTAGTTTTTTTCCCTTTGGCGGGGCACATGCTGCAATATCCCCCAATGAGGCTATCTTTTGGCGCTTGGTGCTTTGCACTGCAAGCCTTCAGACAGGGGTACAGCGCATGAGAAAACTCAGTTGGTTTGGACCTCTTTGAAGGGACATCTTGAAACATGTTCAAGTAATAAGTATTTGTAGGAAAAGCGTCAAGCCGAAGCAGCAATGGATGAGTTTGTTCGTGAGTGTGCGCTGCTGCAAACCTTAGAATCCAGGCAGTATTTGAGCATGATATTGAAGGGCACAAACCAGACAGCTACGCAGCTACACCGTATTGAACATGAATCGAGGATGTGGCCAGGCTTGACATGGTCTCGATTCTTGGATGGGGCAGCAGACGGAAAGTATGATTGACTCTTTGCATCTCGCATTGAGTTCTCATAACAAGAAAAAATACAATGCATGCGACAACTTTTATAAAACCCAATGAAGATGAATGAGACTAGCAGTCAGCAGTTTCTGCTTGGCTTTTTGGTGAGGTGGGCGACCGCGGAAGAGACCAGGCCAGCCGGAGCCATTCGAATATGGGAAGAATTGTTTTATGCCACAGCCTACCCTGAGCTTTGCCTAAACCGCCACGCATTCTCGAAGAACCAAGCCAAGCTGAGCCAATTAAGTCCTCATGAGTGAAGCATCACGTGTCCTGAGTGAAATCTACGCAGCTTAGATGCCTGAGTCCACAAGGCCTTATGCAATTGATGAAGCAATAGAATGCATTGTGAAACTCGTGAGGCTCGATATGCTTTGCGATCGCTCAATTGTACTGGCGAGTACATTTGTTGCTTGTTTTGACTTCGTTTCAGCTAAGTCGGTCCAAGGAGTTTTGTGGTGGTCTTGAGTCTGAAGTACAGTTCCCAGTGTTGCAGGTTCCTGAGTGTGAGGTCTTTCTTGAAACTTCCGACTCCCTTTGGAACCTAGATCTGATGCAAGCTTTCTCTTGGTGACCCTTGTGCCCATGTGCAAATTTGGCTTGGCCATTTTTGGCCGGGAGTTCTAGCTGTGTTGAGGCAGATTCATGTGCGGTTCGGAATGTCTCTCGTTGAATGATGATGACGATGATGATGATGATGATGTTGATGATGATGATGATGATGATGATGATGATGATGATGATATCGCCGTTTCGCCTGTTGACGGCATAGTGCTCGCTTGCTCATGCTTCGCTCGGGAGCCTGCAGCGTAGAGAAACAAACATTGCCCATGCAGCGACACTTGCTTGTTTGGATGGTTTGGCGCAGGTCGTGAATCTGCACTACATGATCCACAAGATCACTAACAGCAAGCCTTCAGTGCTTTGGCACTGGCCTCATCGCTTCACGTCGGGCGGAACTTGCCTGGACATATATGTCATTCGTAGTGGTCTCACAACATTCTTGTTGGAATGGCGGTCTTGGGTTCACTTGGGTTTGGTTCACAGGCGACACACCGGGAATGGCTGCACTGTTGACTTATTCAGTTGGAACAGATACAGACGCGTGTGTTTGACTGTACCACGTACTGCACTTTTCCCCATGCAAACAACAAGCCATTCGGGAACGCAAGAAACAGGTCGCTTTGCACCCCGCAAGCTGCAACTGAATCCCTCTTTGTGGTATTCGGACTGCCCGGGATGAGGTGCTACAAGAAAGAGCTGGGCTTCAGCACTCATAGGAAGAAGCGCATGAAGCAGGCAGGAAGCTTCGCAGAGACAGAATTGATCCTGAAGCAAGGAGATTCGAGATGGCGCTTTGAAGACGTTGTGTTTCAGAAGAGGGATTCCGCAGAGCAGCCAACTCACTTGTTGCTTAGCACTGTCACAATACGTTGTTTCAGGAAGCAACCATAAATATCAGCACGTCGGCGTTTTCATGCACGCATAGCAAGTGCGATGCCTGGAAACACAGTCATGTGCTGCTTGATGGTGCACGCCAAATAGATCTGACTTTTTACGTGGTGACATTTGGGACTGAAAACTACTCGGAAGATACCCAGAACCTACTATGTATGGTAAGGCCGCCCCGAAAAGAATATTTGATTCAGACAAATCTCGTATGTCCTTTGCGACACTACTTTGCAACAGCACCTTGCGCGACTCTGCATCACTCCTCAGCACTTTCAAAAGCATCCTTCAACATCCTTCGAAAACACTTTGTAACCACTTTGCTGCGCAGCTCTCCGTCACACTCCCCTATTTTGTTTGAAGTCACCAAAGGTAGTTCCTCCTGCCCCTCGTCTTTGCAGCATCCCGCGAGAAAGCCATGGTCAATATGCCGCTTCAGTTTGCTTGATATGGTGTGCGAGCCAGAGTGTATGCACTGAATTATACCATAGCCTACAGGAGGTTTGGACCGAGTTCAACAAGTCATCAAGCCTTTTGCTGGTCTATCGCCACGCAGCCGACCGTGTTGTCTGCAACTCTGCTTCTAATTGAATCCGATACTTGAGGTTCAGAATTGCAACGCCCGCATCCGCAGCCTTTTTGGCTTTAGGTCAGATGGTTTGGTCAAGTTCTTTTGCATCTAACATGAAAAAGGGAGGCGTACATTGGACCTTGCGCAAATCGAGCGGATTCCGCGGTCCACTTTTCCTTCACCGGCAGAGCGCTTTTGGAGTGACACCAACGGCAATTGGAACATCTTGAGCTCTCGGAGGGCTGGCCTTGGGATGAATGGCCGCAAGGTCCGCAAGAACCTGGTGGTGCTGCCTGCGCTGCACAGGCACAAGGCGCGCGCACGCGGCGGATTGCGACGGATCGCCGCGTGAGTGCTGGATTTCGGTAGGCGATTTTATGAGGATACCACTGTACGACTGAGGCATGGTCAGCTTCAGAGGATGAAACATGCGCCTTTCGGATGGGTCCTATCAGGAACCCTGAGAAGCTCCCTTGTCACTCTGCAGATCCCCTTCCGCAACGCCCAGGCATTCCAATTTTAACGCCTCCGGCTCAGGCCGCCGACATTACTGGCCTGCTTTCTTATTTGCGTCCCTTTGGAATTGTCCCCTTGCCCCCTTCCCCTCTGAGATTTTTGCCCCCCTTTCTTTGTTGAGATCCATTCCCCCTTTCCGCCCTAAGGCCTTTTCTCCCTCTGTTTTTTTCCCTTTTCCTCCCTAAGATGTTTTCCCCCCTCTCCCTGTTGAGATCCTTTCCCCCCTTTCCCCCCTAAGGCCTTTTCCCCCCTGAGATCTTCTCCCTTTTCCTCCCTTTCCCCCACTTTCCCCCCTACGGCCTTTTCCTCCCTGGGATCTTTTCCCTTTCCTCCCTGAGATCTTTCCCCCCCTTTCCCTGTTGGAATCCTTTCCCCCCTTTCCCCCCTACGGCCTTTCCCCCCGCTGAGATCTTCTCCCTATTCCTCCTTAAGATCCTTTGCCCCCTTTCCCTGTTGAGATCCTTTCCCCCCTTCCCTTTAAGGCCTTTCCAGATCTTCTCCCTTTTCCTTCCTAAGATTGTTTCCCCCCTTTCCCTGTTGAGATCCTTCCCACCCTTTCCCCCCTCAGGCCTTTCCCCCCCTGAGAGCTTCTCCCTTTTCCTTCCTTAGATCTTTCCCCCCTTTCCCTGTTGGCCTTTTTTCCCCCAGATCTTCTCCCTTTCCTCCCTAAGATCTTTTCCACCCCTTTCCCTGTTGAGATCATTTCTCCCCTTTCCCCCCTAAGGCCTTTGCCCCCAGATCTTCTCCCTTTCCTCCCTAAGATCTTTCCCCCCCTTTCCCTGCTCAGATCCTTTCCCCCCTTTCCCCCCTAAGGCCTTTCCCCCCCTGAGATCTTCTCCCTTTTCCTCCCCAAGATCTTTTGCCACCTTTTTTCCCTGTTGAGATCCATTCCCCCTTTCCCCCCCTAAGGCCCTTTCTCCCTCTGAGTTTTTCCCTTTTCCTCCCTACGATATTTTCCCCCCTCTCCCTGTTGAGATCCTTTCCCTCCTTTCCCCCCTAAGGCCGTTTTTCCCCCCGCGATCTTCCCCCTTTTCCTTCCTAAGATCTTTTCCCCCCTTTCCTTGTTGAGATCCTTTCCCCCCTTTCCCCCCGTAAGGCCTTTCCCCCCCTGAGATCTTCTCCCTTTTCCTCCCTAAGATCCTTTGCCCACTTTCCCTGTTGAGATCCTTTCCCCCCTTTCCCCCCTAAGGCCTTTCCCCCCCTGAGATCTTCTCCCTTGTCCTCCCCAAGATCTTTTCCCTTGGTTGAGATCCTTTCCCCCTTTCCCCCCAAGATCTTCTCCCTTTTGCTCCCTAGGATCTTCTCCCACCTTTCCCTGTTGAGCTCCTTTCCCCCTTTCCCCCGAAGGCCTTTTCAGATCTTCTCCCTGTTCCTCCCTAAGATCCTTTGCCCCCTTTCCCTGTTGAGATCCTTTCCCCCTTTCCCCCTTTTCCCTGCCTGGGATCTTCTCCCTTTCCTCACTGAGATCTTTCCTCCCCTTTCCCTGTTGAGATCCTTTCCCTCCTTTCCTTCCTAAGGCCTTTCCCCCCGCTGAGATCTTCTCCCTATTCCTCCTTAAGATCCTTTGCCCCCTTTCCCCGCTCCAATTGGTTGGTGTCACATTGTGACATGGACTGCGGTTTAGTTTTGTGTCAATATGAAGTCTTTTCTTGAGATGTACTTACATCCATGCTGGCCTGCTACCCGAGGCGGAGCCAAATGCAGCAAAAGAGCTCGAGGCCGGCGGAGTTTGAGCGGCCATGTCTTCCTGTGAACTCAACCAAGAGCCTGGTTCCTCGCAGGCCTTCGTACGGGGATCTTTGGGCACATGTCGTAAGCGGGTGAAAGGGGGAGGGGGCAATCTCGACCTATTTGGATGGCGTGTCAGATGATCGATGGATTCGGCGGGGTGTACAAATTCAGACGCCTTCAGATGGATTGAGACGGATGCAGCGATATTCAAGAGGAGCAACCACCAATCATGCTAGAGGTTTCCCTATTGTGTCACCGTTCCACTAAATTGCAAGGAAAGTACGCTATTTCACAGGCTTAGGCCAGCTCTTAGGTGGTGTTGGAGATTCCTACTTCAAGGGAGCCTACTATGTCTGTATAAATGCTGTTACTGAAATGAAATCGCGCCTTGACTGATGTTACCATTCATTTGCTAGTTTCGTCAGGTCAAGAATTTCAGGAGTCCCGTTTGTCTCAGCTGCCGCAACGGTTCCCATGTGCCATATTGACAACTGAAGAACATGATTATTATAATTTGTGCCAGCGTTGAAGGACTCTACGGGAAATGACATAAAGATCATGGAGACAAGAAACCTTGCCATTGTCATACAGTAATTGGAATCACTGGATAAATGCGTCTGGTCATGACATTATTGCGAACAAAAAACATATCACCTGTGCGAACCATGATCATCCGTTAGAGATTCCAGACAGGTCAAAAAGAGCCCCCACCTTCTCGTGCCAGAATAGTTTGTTCAGTCGTCAACAGAAGCCAACCCAACTTGCACTTTTCTGTTGAAGAAATCCAACCGACCCTTGTCAGGCGCAGCTGGAGGACGGGCCAATTCTCACGAGCTGGAAGGGCATGTTCGACTAAAGCGGGATTTGCTTAAACTGCTATCTTCAAAGGCAGTCGCCCGGCCACAATTTCGCTGGTTGCTGTGACCCACCTTCAGTGCTGTGACGCGTGTGGCCCCATAAAGCTACACCTGAACAGGCACAGTTCTTCAACATGTCCAATAGAAACTGCAACCAAGTAGTTGCTTGGTGTTGCGAGGCACATCGACCGTTGCAAACATGGTGTTACCATCTCAAAGACGTGCTTCATTTCTGAACGCGAACTGCTTGGGGTCACATTTGCCACATCTGCACGTACTGCATACGCTGAACGTACCACTTCTGTCAACGGCATGGTCTGGGCGGCTGGGGAATTGCTTTGGGACCATCGTTAACTTAGTTGAATTGTGTAGGACCAAGTGTGTTTAAGCATTGCACTCGGGCAGATATGTGCACCATGTCAATACTTGGAGCAGGCTGAGCATCCTTCGAACATGCATTTCTCAGAGGGTGCTAGGAGATCCAACTTTCAGAAGCATCGCATTTTGGCCACCTGGCTCCACAACCGAAAAATTGGCAAGCTAACTCAAATACCCGCGCTTGCGCGCGTTTCCCCCATCGAAGGCATGGGAATCTGAGCCGATTCGAAGCAGGAGGCGGAGAAGCTGCAGAAGGACTCGCCCAGGACCTGGCGCTCAACTGCTTCCCTCAGATCGCGACCTTCGAGGCTTCGATCGTTTTTTGGAAGTCAGAGAGAGGTCAATGTCAGCTTCCCGTTGAGCCCGCCTTTGGACTTTGAACAGCAAATTGTGAGGGGGGAAGTGACTGCTGAGCCATTTGAGGCGGCGGATTTTGCGGCGGAAGTGCATGTTGGGTCATGCTCGTTCAACATGCTGAGTGTTGACATGCCTCATAGTCCCGTGGCTCGTTGCGCATGAATGTGTGAAGCAAGAACCTCAGACCCATGGATTCACACATTGTACATGGCCATGCATTTGGACAACGCCAAAGACTCTGAGCCTCATGGGCAGGGATGGGACGTGCTTGAGCTGGCAAGGAACCAAGGGGATATGATCGATTGGCTTTCCTGCCATTGGATGAAATTAGCATTTGTTCCAAGGAGCTATAATTTTGTAGAAAGGACTTATGAAAGAATATTATATTTTGAGGAATGCTTCATCCTTTCTTTTGCCTTCTCCAGTGGAAAGGCTGTGTACAAAGAATTCCTGTTCAGAATCTATGCATTCTTATCTACTTCCCTTCTTTTCAACAGTGAACAATCTGCGAATTGTATGTTGCAATGGCAACGCTTTTGAAGTCATATCTTTACTCTGTAATTCCAGGAGATACAATATGCTGATGACCATAGGGTCAATAATTCAAATCATTTGATTGGAAGTACAGTTAGGAATTGCGGAATAATTCTATCAGACATCTTTTGAGCACATCCTATGGTCTAACGCTTCTTCCCAGCACTTGGAATCCAAGATCTTCCGAATCAGATGTGATGGACCTCTTTGATGTGATGGACCTCTTTTATGTGATGGACCTCTTTGTCGCTTGCGTGCTTCAAGATATTGTCCTGAAGCAATGCTTGACCCCAGCATACCCCAGCCCCTTTCAGGGGCGGGACCAAGACATATATTTGATATCTAAGCAATGTGTGAATACTTGCTTTAATATTTGTTTTGTGGACCTTTCGGTTCGGCTTCCTTCCTTTGATTGCCCTTTTTGCGGCTTTCAAATCTCCTCCTTTCCTTTGAGACCTCTTGAGTTTCACTGAAAGTGTTCAAAGGGGACAGGTCCATTGAATTGCTTAAAGGAGGCACAGGATTCCTTTTCTCCTCCGGAAGTTGGCCAACCTAAAACCCTACACCCTGCCCAAAACCTACCCTAAACCAACCTTTCCTTCAAATCGTTTAACGGGGACGGCGTCCTTGGAATTTCTTGGCCAGGCGTCTGCCTGGGCTTCCGGCTCGCCGCCCAGAGGCGCTGAGAGCCTTCCAGCAGGTGGGCGGAGCCTTGGAACAGACTGGGTGCCGCGTCGTTTTTCTTGTTTTAGGGGAGCTGTCCCAAAGTGGTGGCTGTCCTCCTCGTTGATCCAATATGAAACTAACCCGAAAACGGGTCAAAGAAAGACACGCCCACTTTTGGTGGCTGTCCTTTTCGTTGATCCTTTGTAAGAACCAACCCCCAAAAAGGGTCAAAGCAGTCAAAGAAAGACACGCCGGAATGTTTGTTTTGAGGGTACCTTCTTTTTTTTCAAGGGAAGCAATGCGGAAATCCACCATTTTGTGGGGTGCCCCAAAAAGCAAAGTTTGGTTTGCTGCTTCCGCGGAAGCTCGTGGAAGATGTGTGGTTCTTTTCTGATTGATTCACGCGTTATTGTGTTTGCTTTGTTTGCTTCCAAGGGCATGAGCTCACTGAAAGCTACATTGAACATGCTTGAACAAACATCAAAGACACGCCATCATGTTGTGCTTGCAAGATGCCTGTCGCTGCCAGAGCTGGAGCGAACCATTACACGGGTTCCCGCGGAAGTATTGCAGAAGGATGCCACCCGGGAGCAGCTTGTTGATCAGGAAAGAACACGTTTGCAATAGGCATGCGGTGCAGAGCATTCTCCTGGAGCGAGATGTTCGCCGAGCACAAGGTACTTACTCGCAACACCAGCAAAGGAAATCGCTCGCAGAAGCAACGCGCCACGAAACCTGGCAACAGCGCGCGCCGCGCAAGCCGGCCGAAGCTTGCTTGCCTGGTGGAAGGTACCTCTTAGTATGTTGGAAGCTTGGCGATTCTTGGCGACATTCTTCGAAGATGTATAGAGACGATCCACTTTGAAAGAAACAAAAACGTCACTCCACTGGTGTTCACAACAAGTTGGCTGATTTGGCATCAGATCTGCATGGTGGTACAAGCTATCCACATTTTTCGGATCAACAAATAAACGATATAAGGGTGCGCCTCGTGCCACGTGTTGTTCAGCAAGATGCTGGGTCAAACTAGGAACTCGACTGACTCCACTCGGGCGAAAGCAGCCCAGGATTGGTGGCGACAGAGCTTCAGCTTCAGCGACCCGTCATAGGAATGCGATGGGGATCCCCCTGCCGGGTGGAGAATGCTGAACCTTTGGACACCCACATAAAATAATTTAAAGGCGCAGCACAATCAGCACAATGTGTCACCGGGTTCCGCTACAGGGCCCGACTGTTGAATTTAGCAGCAGCCTCGGGGGCACGTGAATTCTGGAATTCGCGCCGTCTCACCCCCAGATTTGAAGATGTTGGAAGATATGCGCTGGGGACTCATGTTTTTTTTTGACCTGCACCAGCGGTGAACGTTGCAACCATGGGTGTCAGGTTTCATGTGAGATGTTCGCATGCAGACCCCAGCGGAATTTTTGGGAGGCTGATACTTTGGCTGCAAGGTAATTAAACCGTTTCATTCTTCAATGTAGATGACCGACATACGCCATTCTTATGCTAGGAGTTTGCCACGCAGGTTCGAAGGATTCTTGCTTGGGCACAGCTACCCAGTATGGGCAATAGTTGGAGGCCTCCCGTCTTAGGGTACCACATGCACCTAGTTGAGAGGGGCATAGTTTCTCGACTCCCAGCACAAGATTGATGCAAAGCACGGGTCGCGTTTGGGATGTGCATGGTTCTTCGCGGATAGGCAGGAAATCATCAGATGGATGGATCACCGATGGGCCCCATACATGGAAGGCCAAGAGGACCCCGAGGGGGGGTTTGCCAATGAGTGTTGCCACAGAAGTGGATTCCCCCGCTCAGATAGAGGTTCGCTGCTCATAGTTTGACCGCCCAGTTTGTGCGGCCTCACATCACCATATCAAACAGGCCAGGGCTAGCGTGTGAGGTTTAGACTCATTGGCCCACGGGCTCTACGACTGTTCAGCCCGACGGTTGAGTCCCGCAAAGTACTTACGATGCAACTCATGCATGGATAAGCCATCAACAAGCCCAAACACTTGAGCATCAGAGCCCCTAGAGCTGTCAAAAGGCCTCCTTCCCTCCAAAAACCCACAGCAGCAAAACAACCAACATGACTATTCAAAACCCTTTCCAAACAGACCAAAGCAGTAAGGGCTCTTGCTGCCCCAAATTAGATCCCCTCTCCACCAATCCAAACCCAATCCCAAGCGTCCAAGCGGTCTGAGGGTTTGGCATGCCTCGTTTTGTGTGGCAAACTCCAGGCTCGAGATGCTCTGCTGGGAGCACGAGGGTGTTCCAGCCAAGGAGGCGCAGTACATGCCGCCCGGGCGGAGATTTGGAAGGGCAAGCAGACGGCTCCGTCGTGTTTTGGGGAGCCCCCTTTCAGTCGGTTTTAACGGCAGGCCAGAAGAACCAACAATTTTAGGGGTTGCCCCAAAGATGGCT